CCAAGTGGGGACAATACTTCGCCGGTGGGCCATCGGTGTGTGAGAAATTCTGGTATCAACAGTTGACGACTCCACTGGGGACGTTTGGCCACGGCCTGCCTCCCTAGTCCCCCCGTCTCGGGGGGCACTGTTGTACACCAAGAGTCCCACATCGGTTGGAGACGGGGGTCTGGAGAGGTATATGTACCATAGTGCCAACCCCTCCTACCAGCGAGGCGCCTTTTATGAAGGGACAAAACTCCACCCGTCACGGCGGGCCCAAGTGGGGACAATACTTCGCCAGTGGGCCATCGGTGTGTGAGAAATTCTGATATCAACAGGCCTTCAAGACTATTGTTAGAAAAGAGAAGATATTGTAGTTCCTTGGCCAAATAAGGAAACTTTCCCGTACTACCAATCAAAAAGTTTATCAGACAAATCAAGAAAAGTAAGGGAATAAGAACCCAGCTCCCATATCCATTTAGGAATTCGGCTGTAAATTCCATTTTTTAGAAGGTCTAATTGTCGGAGGTTTGGCAGGCTTCGCAAGAACTTGGGGAACTTAGGATTAGTCTGGGTTGCTGTGTTTTTAAAATAATTAGTGTTTTTAATAGAAGCAGAAGTAGAATTTAAAAATTATACATTCTAATTTTTCAAAATAACTTAAAAAGTATATTGATTTATGTATAAAGTGTTTTTGTACACTTTTATTAAATACTATAATTGCATCGTTTATTGTGTAAAATATTTTTAAAAGTTTCAAAAGCAATCTTAAACACACCTTTAGTGACGTTGCAAGAAGATATTACCAAATAAGAAAGCCGACGAGACGGAGTGTAATTGACACTACTGTCATAGGTGCTTGATGAAATATGGGTATTGAACGAGAGACCCTAGAAACGGGAGATTCTCAAGCTTCGGGAGCAAGTCAAGGTCCAATGCGAATACACCATTGAAATTATTGTGGGAAAGATCTAGACATGTAAGATTCACCATTTTGAAAATTAGGCTTGGTACGGGACCCATCAAATTGTTATGCCAAAAATCTACAAAGGTAAATTGTTTGTTATTTGAAAGAAATGAAGGTAACTCACCACTGAATTGATTAAATGCAAAGTCTATGAAAGTTATTTTGCTCAAATTTGAAAGTGATGATGGGAAGTTGCCACTGAATTTGTTTTCTCTTAGGTTGATGTGATCGTGAGGTCCTTAAGATTTGAAACTGATGAAGGAAGCTCACCGTTGAAATAATTCCAACCAAGATTCAACGTATTAGCGTTTGATTGGTGTATTCATGTCATAATTTGAATCGTAGTTCATAGTTCGCTACAGTATTTTTTCTCATAAAAATACACGCAAATCGAGAATGATTCTGAATTCATGAACCAAACGTAAGTCCCAATAAATTACTGAATTAAACCTATAAACTAAATGAGTTTTAATGTCTTATGACGTAAACGCTAGAGGTGCATAGAAGTCATTTGATCAGTTAGTTTTACTATACAACAAATTGCTTGATCATACAACTCATGGGCCAACGTTATTTTTGAAGAATTTCAATGTCAATATCATTGTAAATTACAAATTTACAGCAAAAACAAATTTGGTTCGTTGGATAAAGAGCATTTGAAACATCAAAAACTTGAAAGCAAATTCTAATTCAGTTCGTCGATCCGAGTTTTTAATTCGAGTTAAGATATAACTTATGTGAGAGCTTCTAACTGTAGCAGAAAAAGTTAGATGTGACTTTTTGTTAGAGCTTTAATTATAACAAAATTGTAATTAAAAACTCAAATCGGTGAAATGAATGAGAATTACAGCACATTGCCTCTAAGGCTAATTAAGTAACCCTGAGTTTCGGAAGTTAGGTCTAAAATGATAGAAATTGAATTTAGGGAGATCGGAAAAATAGGCCAAGATTTGAGAGAAATTAAAATAAATAGGTCAATATTTAAGAAACGTGAATAAATAAGTTAATTTGATGTAGATATGGTTCTACAACCAGTTGAAAATTTAAAAATACTCTATTGATTAATTTAGAATTCGTACGATTCTTAAAAAAAAGTGATGCTAACTTGGTAAATCTTAAAATTACTAAGTATATCCAGGATTTACCATTAGAATTTGTACTGTTCTTTTTCATGTGATTCTAGCTTGGTAAATCTTAAGTTTACCGTGTATATTCAGGATTTACCATTAGAGTTTGAAAAGTGATGCTAACTTGATAAATTCTAGATTTACCAAGTATATCCAGAATTTACCATTAGAATTTGTGTTGTTCCTTTTCAAGTGATTCTAACTTGGTAAATCCTGAATTTACATAGATTTATCGTGTATATCCAGAATTTACCATTAGAGTTTGTACGGTTTTTAAAAAAATGATGCTAACTTGGTAAATTCTAAATATCAAGTATATCAAGGATTTACCATTAGAATTTATTATGTTATTTTTTAAGTGATTCTAACTTAGCAAATTCTAGATTTATTGTGTATATCTAATATTTACCATTAAAATTTGTACGGTTCTAAAAAAAAATGATGCTAAGTTAGTATATCCAGGATCAACCGTTAAAATTTGTACTGTTTTTTTTCAAGTGATTCTAATTTGATAAATTATGGTAAATCCTGGATTTATTTAGATTTATCGTGTATATCTAAGGATTTACCATTAGAATTTATAGAGCTCTTGAAAAAGTGATACTAACTTAGTGAATCCAAGACTTATCATATATATTCAAGATTTACTAAGTATATTCAGATTTACCATTAGAATTTATACTGTTCTTTTTCAAGTGATATAACTATATAAATCCTAAACATAATTAGATTTATCACAGGAAAGAAAAAAATAACAAGAAAAAGATAAAATTAGAAAATTAAAAATTAAAAATATGAGATGATCTATTAATTTTTATATAATAATAAATTAGGCATTTATTTTTATAAGTTTTAAATGTATACCTATTTCTTACCATTTCTCTTGAATTTATTAAAGACTTATATTAGATCAATTGTTAAGTGAGATGATCTAATATTTTTATAATTTTTTATTCTTTAATCAAATATCTTCAAACGATGCGAGATCCACTAATTTAACAGTGACAAAGAAATGACACCTTTTTTCAGAGCTAACCCTTCCTCAATTGCAAGGTGCCACTTGTCAAAGCTCACGCGATCTTACGTCTCTGGGGTTTTAGAGTGTCTTCTTCTTCTACGTCTGCTCACTTCTTTTTTCATTCTACGGTTCCTGCTCTGCGAAATTCCAACTTTGAACTCCGAAAAAAATGCATCGCCCGTCACAAATTCCACTCCGCAAATTGTTCTCCAGACACCCTTTTAACCAATCTCCAAAACCCATTTCCCCATTGTCCCTAGCACCCGATTCAACCCGACCCCCAATCACAACAAACTCCCCGAAACCCACCATTCCCAACGCACTAATCTCCACCTTCCGCCACTTTGTCCAACCAAATCGCCGAAATGTTTCGACTCCGAGGAGATACGGTGGCGGGCCCGGCGAGTTCGACGTGAACAAAGAGGTGGACACGATCAACCTCAAGTTCGCGGAAGCGAGGGAGGAGATAGAGATGGCTTTGGAGTCCAAAGATTCTGTGTATTTTAATGAAGAGGCCGACTGTGCTAGAGCGGCTGTTAAGGAAGTGCTTGACATGTTTGATGGGCTTCTGGGGAAGCTTCCGGAGAGCGAGAAAGCGGCTTTGCAGAGGTCCATGGGGCTCAAGATTGAGCAGTTGAAGGCTGAGCTTCAACAGCTTGATGATTGATGAGGTTTGTCAGTTTGGATTATTAACATTTTTCCATTTATTGTAGGGTTGTACCAATTTTTTGTTAAATGGTTTTCGATGGAGGAAGTTTTGAAGGCAATTGTTGAGGGTGAAGAGTTTGGTGGGACTCAAGCTCGGCTCTTTTTTCTTTTGTTTTTTGTTTTTTTCTGTAATAATGGGATGAATTATTTTGATGTTGCAATGTGCAAACTGATATAATACTAAAGCAATTGCAAACTTAATTAAAGGAAGGTTTACTTGGTTGCCATGTTATTGTTCTGAAGTGTGATATATTTTGTTGGTCATGTGGATGTACTTTGCTGATATGTGGAACTAAATCATGAAACGATTAAAAAAATGGTTGTCGTGTTATAGTTAGTTTGTCATAGTTTAACTTTTCAACTGAAAATGGAAATCAATAGATTGAATGGTGGATGTTCTTCTTTGATATGTAGCTAGTCAGCTATAAAATGGCTTATCTTTTGAAGTTGAACTGTTAACGTCTAAGTGTAAATTTGTTACATAGGAGATAGCAGGTAGTTAGGGTGAAGCGATCATGGTACAAACCATTAACTGTAACATTCTATAACTTTGTGTACGGAATTCAACTATAGAAAGTAGTGATATTCTGTACATACCTTTAGTGTGAACAATTCTATTTGTACGAATCAGTGAGCTAATCAGTGGTTGCTTTATTATCAAAATCATAACATACCGTTTCTAGATTTACATTATGCATAATCCAGTCTTCAAGAAGCCCTTGATCCTAGGCCCTTAAGGTATTTTTCGGAGTGGATAAGGAGTGGTTTGGGACAGATCCGGGAAAGCATGGATAACAGGCAGCAAGGGAAGGCCAGGTTTGTCTTGATCTTCGATTGATGAACAAGAAGGAAAATGGAACTATTGGATTTTTTGACTTAACCCTGGCTACATGTCCTTCATGTGGTGATATCTTTAATGTCCAGGTTTGTGTAGCATTTGTTGTCTAGCTTACCATCCGCCGGGGGGGTGTCCGGTCGTTGCATATTTTCGTGAAATCTGAAAGCAGGATGATTAGTACCATTAGTTGTATACTTATGTTCACCCTGTCCTTTTTGTCTGTCTTTGGAATGTACCTTTTTGTCTAGAATGAGTTAAGTGGTTGAAGTGAGAACTTCAGATTGTTCTCGAAATAACAACCCTACCAATATCTTGAATGATATGATTCTCAATACTTTGCTGTTCCTCATTTTTATTAGCATCTAAGAACCAAGAGGTGGAGAAAGCGTCTGGAAATTTGAATTTTCTACTCTTACAAATGATTGCGGAGAGTGGACATGCTATAAATTTTGATGTCTTGCACATCAATTCAAACTAGATCTATACTCCAAGAAGTTCTTCATTATAGCAACATCGTCTAGACAGCTTCATCGATCTTTGCCTCAGAACCCAGTTACTTGCATCTGGTTCTTGCAATTTATAGTTGTCAAATTTTAAGTTCTGATTATGTTATCCTCATCATTCTAGGTGGTTTTAGGACTCAATTCTGATTAGCTCTGGGGCACAGGGTTAATAGATCAGATAACTTTTAGATTCTCAAAAGTGTCATCACATCTGAAACCTTAAAGCAGTTTTTGGTGGGAGGGTAAAGTAGAAGGAGGGATTGGAGTCGAGTCGGAGAATTCGTGCTGGATTTGAAGACTTACAGTTGTTTGGTAAAGAAAAATAGAAGAAATGGGTTGGGGGAGGGATTTAAAATCCATCATAGGTAGGAGTCAAATTTTGATCCTTCCAAAGTCGGAAAGATTCGAGGGAGATGAGTTTGCAACAACAAATAATTCAAACCACCTTGAGTCAGTTAGACTGGCTATGTTTGGTAAGAGGGTAAGAAACATGGAAAGCAAAGGTGAAAATGGAGGGGAAGAGGAAATTTTCTCTCTTAAGAACTACACAAAAAACAGTCCTTTTGATAAGTAAGAATACACACAAAACAATTAGGAAAAAAACATAGAAGCTTTGTTTAGTGATTTTTCATCAGTCAGTAGCTATATAATTATTTGTGTTTGTTCTCCCGTATGTTCAGTTTGTTTTGGTGGATTCTTGTTCCCTTTTCTCCATGTACACCTTTTTTTTCTTTTCTTTCTTTCCTTTTTTTTTTTTGCCTTTTATACTCATAAATTCCTATTATTGGAATGAAAAAAAAAGAAAAAAAAATGCACTAGCAGATTCCATTCCCTGACTGCGATACTCAAGAAGACCAAAAGTATTCAAAGTTACTTATTATAGCAAGTAGCAAGTTCCAGAATGAGTAGTATTCTCGTGGAATCCCAGAAAGCTCTTTTCATTGCATTTCATAAATTGTCGGATGGGAACTTTAGAAGTTACTCAGCATGGAATAAGTACAGCACTGTCTGATTGGTATTTTGTTATCTTAAATTGAGGACTCAGTGTATGTATGACGTTTATGCAAGTTCACAGCTTCGCTCGTGTCATTCGTTCAGGTTGAAAACTTGAGTTAAAGTGAATTCATATGAGAGAAATCATTATAGCAGAAAAAATGAAGTTGAAATTGAATTTTTGTGAGAGAAAATACTGTTATAAAAACTTAAGTTGTGATTCAAACTAGCGAAACACCACAATTGAAGTTTTCCCATTTAAAAAAAAAAAAAAAAAAA